TATCATCTTCTCATAAAAGTTTATCCAAATTGTATAGATACCATGCAACCCAAATAGACCATGCTAAATCGGGTCAAGTACATACCAAATATAGTGATGGACTTAGACACCTTAGCCAATAGATTTAAGTATTGAATTAAACTCACGCTCAGTGAATTACTTCATGTAATTTATCACGAGTAATTCTGAGACGATAATATCATATAATCTTTAAATGGAGATATATGAGTTGTTGTTTACGAATTGGTTGTTCATTGATAATGCATAAACACCTCTTTAACTTGATGTTATAAAACGTATTGATGTGCATGATTTGATGAGTAAATAGTACAAGCATATAGTTTGAATTTTATTTGTTTCTTTTACCCTAACGGGAAAAGTGATATCTTGGGCCCCTTGATGATTTGGTGTTGACTTATGTGTTAGGCCCGGTCATGACTATGTGTTCAATTGTAGTTCGTAGTCATTACAAATCAGAATTAGGAAACAAACTATTAGACAATGAGAATAATTTTGTTCCATGTCATTTGTCCACATGATATCTTGCAGAATGGAGGTTTATATGATCACTTATCTTAGGACATGTTACTGACTAGGTCAGAGTTCAACAACGGCTTTGAGAGCTATAATTTGCTAGTCAATTTATGAAGTTATACTTGCAACTATAGTTATTCTACTTGTGCACGTGGAAGACTATTGGTTTAGGTGTCTAAGCTAATAAATAATTGCTATGTACTTGAATTAATAGTAGCACAATCCTTTTCGGTTCCTTGATACTAGCAACTAGACAGGATGACCTATAGAGAAAGAGGAAGATCTTATTATTTGTAATAATAAATTAATATAGAAAAATTATTTATTAATGTATTATGACAATAATATATTAATTAGAAATCATGTTATTTAATTAATATTTAATCATAAATTAATTTGGAATTAATTTTAGGATTAAAGGAATCAATTAAAAGTAGATGGGCTATTTAGAAATTAATTAATAGTTGTGATTTTGGGCTCTTGGACCATCCTAGAAAGGATGGAAGAAAACATCTACGGAGGCCCTAGAATTTTCATCCATGACCTTAGGGATGGGGAGTCCATTGGTTGCTTAGGCCTTAAGCTAGAAATTAGGGTTTCCTCTAGCAAACCCTAGCTTTGGCTTTAAGCAACCTCATCTATTGAAAGAGCCTTAACCCTATGGATTTTGGCCATGCCATCAAACCCTAAGGATAGCCGAAATTTGAAGTATCTTCCTCCTCTCTCTCCTCTCATCCTCTTGCTTGGTGCATTTGTAAACCATTAGAGGTGTTACACTTGTGACAATTACTCTCAAAGTTCAAGATCTTCAAGGAATCCATTGTTATTACAACATAACAATAAAGGTATGTATTCTAATCCTTGGTTTGTGAATTTTGAAAATTCTAGTTACCTCATAGGGTATCTTGTTATGTGTTTAATGTTTGTATGTCTAATAGAGAAAACATAGATCCAACATATTAGGGTTGCATGCACACATAAGGATTGTTTATTATGCTTAAAACCCATCACCCTCGACCCACGATTATAGTGAAGAGACTCACCTAAACTACTTATCTGAAGCTCAACCGCCACCTCAGCAACAAAACAACCAACTTAAGCTTCCTAAAGCCAAATCGAGTCAATAATTGGCCAAAAGCTTAATTCTACTTAAGCTTGACCAAAAGTCAAATTGGTTAAATGGTCAACAGTCAAAGTCAAACAATCAACATACAGACCATTTACACATCATGGCCTTCCTTGGCCACGTTGTGGCCATGCCAGGACAAAATAGTCGAGGTTTCAAACTTCACCATGTCGTTATCATCTTCGCTACGTCGTGGGAAACTGTCTGAAGTGTTATTTATTCATTAAGCCCTTAATCCTTATAGATCTAAATCTAAAACTTCACATCTACTCCTTCTTAATGACTTAATGGATAAATTTTCCAACTTTATCCATTATAATGTAGCACCTGGTTTCCGGTATGTGAATTTTATTTGAGCATTGCCCTATTTTAGCCTTGGACTCGGCGAGTCATAAGGTCCAACTCGCCGAGTAGGGACGAGACTCAGGACACGTTTAAGTGGGCGACTCGGCGAGTCCATATCCTGGACTCGGCGAGTCATCGCTGCTGGATGAAACCCTAAGTTTCAAGGGTTTGCACCCTATTTAAACCCTCATTCCGCCCCAACTCGTCCCCATTCACCCCCAGAACTCCCCAACATCGTTTTTCCCTTATTTCCTTGAGAGATTGAAGTGCTCTTGGTGTGTTCTTGAAGGTTTTGAGGAGAAAGAGGTGTAGATCAAGAAGAGGAGAAGGAGATCAGGCATCTTTGTGTCATTTCAACATATTCCTTGAGGTATAGCTCGTTTCCCCTCTGTTTTCAAGCTTGTAATCCCTTATTGCTTCATTGGAGTCCTTCTTGGGCTCTTCCCCAAGCTTGTTTGTGCTTTGTGGGTGATAATAAGTTGTTAGCCTTTAGATCTAGGCATGATTTAGTCCCTGGAGCTTGGATCTATTGCCTTTATGGGGTCATATGGCATGAAAGCCCTAGATCTACCTCTTTTGGTGCACTTTGAGCCTTAAAATCCATATTGGTGAATATCTACACGTAAAGTTGGAAACTTTACGTGTGAATTGTGTCCTAGAAGCCCAGATCTGTGAATGGCATGGACTGGAATCGACAAATCGGTGTATTTGATGGATGCATGGTGCGACTCGGCGAGTCATATATGTGACTCGACGAGTCTGGTCGCGAGTCACTGAACTGGTCCCTTTAAGATGTATCGAGTTGAGCCGTGAGTCACAGGGGGTGACTCGGTGAGTTGGAAGCTGAACTCGCTCATGATAGGACTCGGCGAGTCAATGCCCTGACTCGGCGAGTCCAAGGCAATCTTCATAGATCAAGAACAAACTCGGCGAGTTGTTCATACAACTCGGCGAGTCTTAGTATATGTGTTCTTCGGATGAAGATGAACTCGACGAGTTGTTCATACCACTCGGCGAGTAGGATGAAGGAGTTAAATGACAGTTTAGAAGATGAACTCGTCGAGTCATAGCCCAACTCGACGAGTAGAATCAGGGACCCAGGACAATAGTTTGCTAGGGACTCGGTGAGTGGAGATCCACTCGGCGAGTTGGGTCAACTAAAAGTTGACTTCGATTTGACTTAGGGCTAGACCAGGGGTAAAATGGTCTTTTTACCCAAAGGACAGTTGGCAGTGTATGATTAAGTATATTGTGGGAATTGCAGCCGGGGAGTTTCCGGAGCAACAGCAGCAGTAGTAGGTGATCAATTCCCACACAGACCAGCAGCTATTTCGAGGTGAGTTTCCTTCCAGTAGTAACAGGTCTAAGGCACCAAGGCCGGCCTGTATAGATGAGACATTAGTATTATAGTGTGGGCCGAGCCCGTATCTATTAGTTGAGTTGATTGTGTTATATACCAGCATGATAGAACTGTTTACACTTGTTGTCTGTGCGATGCTTGTATGATATGAGTTGGCGGTTGAGTGTGGGCGGTGCCCGTATCTCTCCGAGAATGGAGTGTGGGCTAGGCCCGTATCTCCCAGGTAGCGAAGTGTGGGCGGGGCCCGTATCTTCACGAGTGTGGGCGGGGCCCGTATCTCTCAGAAAGTGAGGTGTGGGCGGGGCCCGTATCTTCACGAGTGTGGGCGAGGCCCGTATCTCCTAATTGCATGTTATATGTTAAATGCTTGTATGGTATGGGGTATTATGGGGGAGCTCACTAAGCTCTGTGCTTACGGTTTCAGTTTTGGTTTCAGGTACCTCCTCAGCCAGGGGAAAGGAGCCGGCGCGGTAGCAGCATGTCACACACACACTCTTCGGTTTCCGCATTTACGAGATTCACTGGGATTGTACTCTGATATTTGATGGGATGTATGGTTTGACTTTTAAAACATGGTTTGCGATGTGTTATGTTGTGATCAAACAATGTTTTTATTTATTAATGTTTTCTAAAGTAATATTTAAAAATGAAATTTTTGGACATGAAAATTGGGTCGTTACATATAACTTCATCCAAAGGAAAAATCATGAGCCCTAAATCCAAAAACACTTAATATGACCAAAAGTCAAACATAGGATCAAGAACACTCAAGCTAAGACCTTTCTGTCACTAACTTAGAAGTTCATGACCATGAGAAGGCCATATCAAGCTATAAAGTTCTAAAAAACTCCACGAGCATCTAAGAATGGGATCAAAACATCAAAAAATAGGCTCAAACATCAAACAAGAAATACAAAGGTCAAGATATGAACTTTATAGCTCCAATACCTCATACATGTGAAGATGTTGGATCCAAGCTTGTTCATTACTTCCTTACACCAAGATAAACTTCTTTCTTCTTCAAGTTTCATCAAAAGAGGGTATTAACATCAAGATCAAGCCACCAAGCTAATTTCCACGAAAGAAAGGCTAGGGTTTCGAAATGAAGGGATGGAGGTTGAAGAAGATGACCTAGAATGGGGGTTAAGATGTTTACTACTTGAATGCTTGTTGATTACATCCGATGTTCTCCCTTTTTTTTTTGTATTAAGTATGATATTTTTGCTAGGTTTGGTGTTTAATGTTGGTGTGTTCATAAAGGCGTCATTAACACATGGAGGCCATGTCAACACCATGCAAGTAAGTGTTGATTTAAGAAGTTAGTGACCTATTGCACAAAAAAAATTAATAACCAAATCGGAACAAATCACAAAGTTCATTATGTTACATTGTCATTTTCCCTGAAGTTAGCTCAAATCCAACCAACTTTTTCAATGAAAGAAAAAAAAATTCCAATAAGCTTTCATTTAAAGATTCTTCTTACAATACTAAATCCCAAATATAATTTACTTCAAGAACAAAAACCCTAAACACACATGGTTCTATAAAGAAAGTACCAACACGTCACCCACGAATATCAAAACCCAAATTCAAAATATCTCATATTAAAAACATTTTCAACACATCTAATCCCTCTTATTTCCTTGCATCAAAGGGAGACTCCGAAACATCAATCGATCTTTCATCATCTTCCTTGATGTTATTAATCATACCTGCAACTTGATTAATGCTCAGCCTCGATTCCGGCGATTTGTCAACGCATTTGATTGCAACCTGCAACAAATTCACCATCCTTTCTTCACTCGCGCCTTCCCGAATCAGTGCTCGATCAAACACCTCCACCGTCCATTCTTCTTTGACCACCGAAACCACCCACGTCGCGAGATCCATCCCGTTGTTTTCCACCATCGGCATCTTTCCGGTTAAAAGCTCAAGAAGAATAACCCCAAATGCATAAATATCGCCTCTGAATCCATCGATATGATCGAGTTGCGAGGTGTTGTTGGTGGTGATTGGAGAATTGTAGAAATTGTTGACTGACATTAGACCATATTCGCTGATGCAAGCTTCCATGTTGTTGTTGAAGAGAATGTTTGAGGATTTTAGGTTTCCGTGAGGGGATGTTGTCTGCATGAAGCTCGTCGTGCATGAATGATAAAGCGTCGGCTATGGTGGATGCAACTCCGAGCCTGCTGCTCCAGTCGAATGTTTGACCCATTGGCATTCCTGCAAATTATTGTTTGTGTTCTATACGATCAAATACAAATATGACAATATAGTTTTTGAAAATTTCCCTAATTATAGAGTGTTATTATATAAAATAAAATTCCATTGCATTAGATAATACTTATCATTTTATAATATAAAGCCTTACAATGAAAAAAATTATAATATAATGATGTAATTTGGTATATATTTTAAAATATAATGTCTTGATAAGAAAAATAAAATAAAATAAAAATAAAAAAAAGAACTTGTATAACATATTATATAAATAAATAGAATTACATTGTTATTTATTTTATTTTTTTGGATTTCCACGTTTTATATATAATATAGTTGTGCTATGCGAAACACCAAAACCTATATAAACTTTTCGATTTATAAATAAAAACATAACATAAAATAAAATAAATAGCAATAAACTTTCTTTTATTTGGTTATTATATATTTATTCTTATAACATAATTATATTTCTATAATTGACCCATTTAGGTGTGTCAAAATACAAAACAATTTTACCATTATGATGATATATTTTTGAAATATAGTGTCCTAGTAATAAAAATTGGATATATAATATTATAATAGTTCGATGTTTTATAGTATGAAGCCTTAATTAGAAGGAAAAAAATGAAAATTTCAATGATGTATTATAATAAGGAAATAAATTATTTGTTATATATAACAAAATGCAAGAAACAACTTATTTTATTGATTTGGTTATTGGCATCCTAATATTATTTATTCCAATTCCAACGTCGTATTTCAAAAAAAAAAAAAAAAAAAAAAAAAAAAAAAAAAAAAAAAAATTGGTGCAAATACAAAGAAATTTTTGCCTACAATGTTGTAACTAATTAAAATTTCCCAAATTTAGATGTCTTAATAAGAAAAAAGTTGAAGTTACAATACACAAATAAATGAAAGTTTATTACTATATAAAGCACTAAAACACAAGAAAAGGGAAGAAAATTACCATGAAGGAGCTTAAAGAGACTTCCATTAGGTTGATACTCATAAACCATAAGCTTCTCTTGTCGCGAACAATAAAATGCAACAACCGGCAACACATTCGGATGCTTCACATGATTCAATCTTTTCATTCTTAACTTAAAATCATCCGAAGGTAACAACCAATCTTTAATCCTTTTAACCGCAAGAGTCATTCCTTGTTCTTCACATTTCACCTTATAAACACTCCCATGTTTCCCTCTCCCCAACAACTCCGCGGGTGCCTTCAAAAGCTCTTCAAATTTCAACCCGTTAACTTCCGGGCTCGTGAGAACAATCAAAGAAGAAGAAACTGGCCCACTCTCTATCGAATTCCCACCAAAAACCTCGGATTTACTCATTGTAATGCTTTTGAATTCGATAGATTCAAGGGTATTTTCGTCTTTTGATCGATAGTTATCATTATCACCTTCTTCCACCAATTCTTCTTTCTTCTTTTTTCCCTTTTTACATATCTTGAGCATAATCAAGAGCAAAATGGCTAAACCAATGAGAGCATAGCCCGAGTACATCAAGATTTCAGTCGAATTTGACCCGTTCTTTTTTGAGTTATCCGAAGTTTGGGCCGCATGTGGGCTTGTGGGTCCTGGGACTTCACATTTGTTTGGTAACGGGTCGCCACATAATCCAAGATTCCCAAAGTAGCTAGCGGGGGTAAAACGATCACCCCCCGGTGGGACCGGGCCGGAGAAATTATTGTTGGATACATTAAAAGATGCTAGATTTGAGAAATCAAATTCGGGTATGGGCCCCGAGAATTGATTGTTTTGGGCTAAAATCTCGATTAAGCCCGATATTCGGGGTAAATTCGGTAAATCCCCGGAGAACCCATTATCTGAAATCTCTAGTCTTTTGAGATTGTTCAATTGGGAAAGAGTTTCCGGAAGGTTACCCACGAATTGGTTTGCACTTATGTATAAGTGAGTGAGTTCCTTGCAATTAGCAATTGATTCGAAATCTTCCCCATGTAGATTATTGTTTTTGATGCTAATGATAGCGATAGAAAGGGCAAGAGACTTAATATTGCATATAAAACTCGGGTTGAAAGTTCCCGAGAGATTGAAACTATCAAAAGTGATCGACTTAACAGACGGTATTTGATCATGGCAAATGATTCCCGTCCATTTAGCTTCACAAGGATCGGAAGTGAGATTCCAACCGGAGACCGGAATCAGAATCGAAGAGTTCCCGGAAAGATTTTCGAAAAACCCGACTAAGGCATCAATAGCATCGATTTCAACCGATTCAATTCTGTTAAGAAGCAAGAACAACGAAAGAACAAATACCCAATTGGGAATCGGATTCATTTTGGCTAACAACATTAAAAAGGAAGAAAACAAGAATTTCAAGAACTCGGATATGATTTGTGGTGGAAGGTGGACAATATAACACCTAGAGAAAAAACTCACACATTGATCTCAGTTTCTTTGGTGATGAAAACTACAATGGAATAGAATTTGGAATTCATAATGTTACCATTTGGTAGGAGACAACACTTTAGTACAAAAAGCCGGCACTTGAAAAGGACGGAGAGAAATAGTCTTAAGTGTACAACAATCTTGTGTAGGATTATGCAGTAAAGATGCTATTTCGGTTTAAATAATGAATCATCTATGATGTTGACCTTAAGTCATAACAGATTAAATAATTATACCTTGTAATCTATCTTCTTGTACGACATATAAGTATATTACTGTTATCCGTGTCTATTTCTCCAAAGGGTTTCAAATTATAAGAACAAAATGACAAACGGTTTGTAATAAAGTAGTTATAAGATATACTCATCATTTTACTTATAGAGAATCCCGTAAGCCCCCAACATTATGACTTTGTCTTCATGATGACATGGTCATCATTAACAATTAGGGATGTCAAAAAATCGCCTGAAAATCCGTCCTGTTTGAAGGGATTAATTAAAAAAAAATCGGGGATGGGGAAAAGATTAACCCCCGTTTCAATTTCAAGGAGGGTAGTTCCGTCCCGAAACCCTATGAGATCCCGTTAATAAATTATACACATATTTACATATATTAATTATATAAATATAATAAATAATAACATTATTTTGAACTTCTAAAATTCAATAAAAACATGTTTTTAAATTGTTAGTATAATATTTTTAAGATGTTATAATTTTTTTTTTAACATATAAAATTTTGCTATAAATAAATGTTTGTTCTAAAAAATAATTTTTTTTAGCTCAAACAATTTCTTTTAGCCCAAAAAAAAACAGCCTAAAATAAATCGGGTCGAGCAAGGGTACGTATAATAAGAGGGATTCGAGGGGTGGGGCGGGAATCAGAGGTAGGAAGCTTGTACATTTCGGGGGCGGGAGCAGGAGATGCACTCCTTCTCCCGTTTGCTCAAATTGACATCCCTATTAAGAATACCTAAAATCCAATAGGAATACGAGCAACAAGAAGTTAGATGTAGTCAGAAAATCCAATAGAAATAAGAGTAAGGTGAGCTTAGATGCAGTTAGTCGCAAATCCAATAGAAAACCCATAATGGTGCCTAAAAAGAGGGAAGGAGAAAACAAATACAAGCAAAAAAGCATAAATAAAAAATGGAAAAAAGTAAGCATGTACATAAATCTAAGCATAAACAAATATAGTACGAAAAGCACAAACATTTATAAATAAACGAGGACTCATACTATTCAACTACATTGATTTGATTTTAAGTTCATACACCCTCTTATTTATATAAAGATAAATTCATGATATTCAATTACTCTTGATTTGATTTTAAGCCTATACACCCTCTTATTTAAAGTTGCATATAAGATAAAGGGAGAATTACGTATATACCCCTCTTAAACTTCAAGATATCATATTTGTCAAACTTAATTTCTTAATATCAAATTTTCCCTTCATAAATTTTCAAAATATCATATTTACACAAATCCTTTTTTATATTGTTTTTAATATTTTATAATCATTCTTTATACCTTAGAATTATTATAATAAGTAAAAAATTGAACCATATTATCTTTACGTCTATGATAATGGAATGTTAACTTCTAAATTGTTTGAATGTCGTCTTCTTGACAAACAAAAAGATTCATCATCAACCCTCTCTATGAAATATATATTTTGATTGTTTAGTTTTTGTTGTTGTTGATTATTATCATGTTGTAGATGGATGATATTTTATATATTATCATTGATATTTCGATTTTTAAAAAATACATATACAATATTTTGATATTTAAAAAGAGCATATATGATATTTTGATATTTAAAAAGAACATATATGAAAATTTGAAATTTTATAAAGGGTAAATATGATATTTAGAAATTAAATTGGGTAAATATGATATTTTGATGTTTAAGAAAGGTATATATGCAATTCTTCCTAAGATAAATTCATACTATTCAACTACTCTTGATTTGATTTTAAGCCCATAAACCCTCGTATTTAAAGTCTTATATAACATAAATTCATATTGTTCAACTACTCCGATTTTGAACCCATACACCCTCTTATTTAAAGTTATATCTAAGATA